TGGTGGCAAGCAACTGTATTGCCAGCTACTCAGGAGGCTGAAGCAGGAGGATCGTTTGAGCCCAGGAGTTTGAGGTTGCTATGAGATAGGCTGATGCCACTGCACTGTAGCCTGGGCAACAGAGTGAGACTCTGTCTCAAAAAAAAAGGATAAATTCACCTATAAAAATATGAAATTGATAACCTAGAATTCATGAAAGCATCTATTTATAGCTACTAATGTCCTAAGGCATTTTTAGGCCATATTTAGAAAAAACACTTAGACAAAGGAAGCAAAAGTCTCTTTAAGCAGTTGAAATACTACCTTTCTAACTGTCATATTCTTATTCATAATAACCATTTCTGTATGGTTAGTGATGGTAAAGAAATGATTATTGGTACTGAAATTGGTGTAGTAGGGCATAAAGAAAACAGAAAAAGGAAACCTGAATATTTTTATGATCTTTTCCTTTTTACTATGGAGAAAGGGGGATGGGAGAGTAGGAGCTGGGACTACAATTCATGACCTTGACATCAGATCTGCTGAGAAGCTGTCTCTCAGGTTTGAGTACTATATAGTTAACTAATCCTAAAAATATAACTTTTTAAAACCCACACTGTGATTACCCTGTATAATTAATAAGCATCATAGATTTATGAGTAATAGACAAGGAGTTTCTTTGGTGAGGTCGCAGCCTGAGAACAGTTGTTAGGCCGTCTGTTTTCTCTTGAAGTACTTCATAGTAATTCCATAATCGCTTGCATAGTAATTACAAGTTATATAAAATAGATGGCTTTGCCTGTAAAGGAAAAGGATCTGTGGGATAATCTAAAAAAGGCTCCTTGTCAGATAGCACTTCTTTTAAGTACATTCTAATATGAGGCCAAATATAGGAAAGGTGAATTTACTATACCAAACACTGGACTGGAAAATGGGAGATGAAATATGGAATTTTGCAATGCACTTAATAAATTCAGTCTGGTGACCTATATGGATTACAGGTTTATCAGTATGCAAATAATAGCAGTAACAAAAACAGATTTGAAGAATGAAAAGAAGAGCTTTCATGGAGGTGTGTAATAGTTATCTATTCTGGTATAACAAATCATCCCAAAACTTAGCAGTTTAAATAATAGACATTTTTAAAAATCTTATATAGTTGCTGAGGGTCAGGAATCTGGGAGGGGCTTAGCTGGGTGCCTCTGGCTCACAGTGTGGGGAGATCACAGACAAGCTGTAGTAATCACAGGGCTGTAGTAATCTGATGGCATGACTGGTGCTGGTGGATCCTTTTCCAAGCTTACCTACGTAGGTGTTGGCATAGGCCTTGGTTCCTTACAAGTGCCAGCTTCTCAAAGAGCAAGAGACCCCAGAGACAGGGAGGCCAAGATGAAAGTCCCAGTGCGTTTAAAACCTAATCTTGGTAGTAGACAGGCACAGTGGCTGGTGCCTGTAATCCCAGCTACTTGGGAGGCTGAGGTAGGGGGATCCTTTGAGGCCAGGAGTTTGAGACCAGCCTGGGCAACACAGCAAGACCTCGTTTCTTACAAAAAAAAAAAAAAAACCCAACCCAGAAAACCCCTAATCTTGGAAGTGACATACCATTGCTTCTGATATATTCTATTAGTCACACAGACCAACCCTGATAAATTTGAGAGGGGACTACTCAAAGGTGTGAATATCAGAGGTAGTGATCATTGGGGACCATCTTGGAGGCTGACTATCACAAGATGAATGACTAGAGATGGTACCACCATCATTTATATCTCAGGTCCGAATTTAAAGACCAAGTACCTATACTAAAAATTGTTAAGGCTGAGTTTTAATTTTAATGATATTTTTAGCTATTGTATAAGAAAATTTAAATCACCTTAAATTTCAGTTGGGAGGAAGTTTAGTAATAAAGCTAAAGTCAATTTACTGAAATTTCATTATTTTTACTTCAATGACCGTATACACTTTAACTGAACAGAAATTCCTGCATTGTCAGAAAACATGATAGTCTTTAATTTCAGACGACAGGAAAA